TGCAGTATGTGTACAGTCAACTTACTTTGTTAATAGTCTGTCTTTCTGCCCTTTTTCCTACTCTATCTTAGAGTACAAATGTAATGACTATCTCAGCCTCTCTAAACATCTTTGGAATTCTTTTTTCTTTTTTTATTCTCTAAAATTTATTTACAATTAATAAGTTAAAAAGCAAAGTACAACCAAATTGTAAATCTTAATCATATGCACATTAAACTGTCCAGGGAAACACTTCAGTTCCACTTCAAACAATTGCTTTCTAATGCAATTAAGACATAACAGTTTATCAACCAAAATATTTCAACACACCAATAAAGCAAATGTTAGATATATATAATCATTAAAAATCATCAATTTAAAGAGTGCTGTGGCAACCCAACCCTTAAAACGACCAAAAAAACCTTTTGAGTTCAAAATTGCTCAGACTTTTTGTATTCAAATGATTTTAAAAGATTTTATTGAAGAGTTTTCTGAAAAATAGTACTAACATTTGCTCATAGCAAATCAACAAGTATGTGCCACTAGCTTAAGTTACACTTGTCCAATAGAGTACTCAAACAAAAATAAATACACGTCACAACAGCAACACTTTGCACTATCAATGATGAAGCTTGCCCTCAGAATCATGACATTACTGGTTTTAGTGACATAGAAAATGAGTTGCTGGTTGTTAGGAAGGAATGTAAAAAATACCAAAAAAGATTATTTGTTGTGCCAGTCACATTTAGGCACCCAAAAGTCAAAAATCAAACAGAAATATATCAAGGTGATAAAATTCCTCCTAACTTCCTCCTCTACTGTGTCATAAGAGATATAAATGAAGGCAAGAGAACAAACAAATGGGACTTCTTTAAAAAAAAAAAACTATACACAAGCTGAGCTACAGACTCACTTCTGAAACAATTAATGGATGTCTCACCATAAAGGCCACTATGCCAAGTTTCTTTTCACACTCTGCCCAAAGGTAATCATAAAATACTTTCACTTTCCTATTATCATACTAGTCAACTATATCAGATGTTTCTCCACATTTTAGAAGTTGCAAGATAGGTTTTGCTAAAGAAAACTTGGCAAAAATATTTCTTACATCTTACTTCACAAACTAGAAATGGCATTATTTAATAGTCCACATGAACCATATTGACTTCAAGATGGGCAATCAGATTCAAACTGAAATCAGATAACCCAAATAAGCCAAAAAAGCATTTAGACACATTCAAGTGCACTAAAGTAACAAGGCATAAGAAGAAAAAATGTCAAGAATATCAGTTAAAACAAATGCAAGGTGTCACTGGTTATGTTTCAGTTGTGTGCTGAGAAAAGTTATTCTCAGCTAATTTCAAAATCCTCAGGAAAACTATCTAGATAAGCTACATGTTGAAATTACATTCTAATATGGCCATTGGATTTACTTTAAAAATTATTATAAAACTATATACAATAGTGAAATGGTACAATACATTTTTTCAGGTGCTAGTTAGCTATAAAAGTTAACAATATATTTTTGGAAAGAAACTCCTATGTGTATGAAATACAATTGGCAATGGAAGCTAATAACCAAAAAATGTCTCAGCTTCCTATCACACAACTATAATTTAACACTCTCCATCTTCTAAGTAATTATTCACTTTTTTTTATTTACCCATATGACAGTGTTTGTAAGGATGCATCATCATTGAGTAGTGAATAAAAGACTATGAGGCTTACTGGGAAACTGGCATAAAATTATATATATAATTTTTTTTTCAAAACAAGAACACTGAAATGAAAGTCACAACATTTCTACTATGGACTATTAAACTTAAAAAAATTATTTCAGAAAGCTATGCCATTTGAATTCTAGGAAAACAAGAGTAAAAATCACAACTCTCATTATTCTCCTAATAAGCTGCCAAGCAGAGATAAACCTTTGTATTGAGGGTTTCACATGCCAAGTTCCAGCCCAGTATGGATAGTTCCATGGCAGAATACTTGAATTTGAAATAATTGTGGTACAAAAACACTACTTGACCCTTTAGGTATTGCAGTAAAAGCTGGCTGTGGCATCACTGTCTAATAACCAGTAAGTCTCGCTGCCACCACTGACCAAAGGCACTTGGATAATCAAGAATTCCACACTAGGCTATATGGTATACACACTATTACAAAAGTGTAAAATAAGGGTCAGTACTCTGGGTGGCTTACCTGTTTGATTTCTGTGGCCTTCAGCTATCAAACAAAGACTACAAACATAACTATGAATGGAAAAAAAGAAAATTCACAGGACAAAAAAGTCAACTAATTGTCATAATGTTTACAAATGTGATGAACACTAGTCTTGGCATTTCTTGTTATCCAACAATAAAAACAAAGGGATCTATTTTGTCCAAAGTAACTTCAACCAGTTACTTGATACCAAGAAATGCCCCCACCCTTCTCTATAGATCATGTTGAGGTTTCTAATGGGCATTCTGTTTGTCACTTTATTGACAACGTTTGCACACATTCATCTCTCCTATGTGACTTCAATTTTAAAAATTATTATCTTCTCATTAATATTCTTGGATTTTTATGTTTGACCAGGACATGTTGCCAGATTATCTCCAATTGAATTCCAGTCATTCCTGCAACACCACCAAAAGCCATGTGGTTTCAATGCACTTCAATTTTTATTCAATTAAAAAAGAATTCAACAAGTCAACTTTTCATAAACAAAACTTTGTATGAGTATGCTACCATTTGCTTTAGGAGCTCAGTAAATATAAACATTAAACTTCAATATAAAATCTTTTAGAAACACCTTTAAAACGTTAAGCAATTGGACTTTACATCTCT